TTTAATATCCAAGGTTGTATAGGCCATACAAGAACAATTCTCTAAGCATTTAGCCCTGCACTGATTGAGATCCATGCTTTCATTCACCTGAGAATGTTCAGTATCTGGTAGTTTTAACCTTCTAAGTTTGATAAATCCATCTCCTTTTTGGCAGTCTAATGGGTTATTGCGCACACACCCCTTATACCAGTCCACTGAGTTCCCTTCTTGTGATTTAAACTTGAAACCTTTCAAACATTGACAAGGTGGTAGCGTTGTACTGGCACAGGTTCCATATACTCCACAAGTCCCATAGTTGTCACAGTCATCCCTTGGAAAATGATTGAATAATATCCAATTCTGAGCTTGTTCATTCCATATGGAGCGCTCCATCCTACTGGATGTTTGGTTTAAAACAACCCTTGTGATTAATGATTTTTTACTGATGTAATATGTGGAGGAAGTCTCCTCTTCATTTGAGGTGATGTTGGACGTTATATACGGATTGGGATTTGTGTTTGATGTACCACTGAATCCATTGCCATTCCAGGGTCCTAACCTGAAATACTTTTTGGAGCCTTTCCATATAACAAAATCCGGATAATTATATGTTTCTATCCCATAAGTTAAGTCTCCAGGGCATGGATCATCTTGGGACTTCGATGCTGATAGTTGTCGATTAAGACCAGTCGTTGTGTCCCCTCCAAATTTCATCCCTGCCAATAAAGTATCAGTAGGATAGTCAAAGCTTTGCCATAAAATACTTTCTAATTTACCAGCAATTCTATCCCATAGAACAAGATTTCCAGAATCCAAGAGCTGAACTACCGGGTTTTGAGCTTCTTTCTTTGAGTTTGATGCCCATACGACACTCCTGTTTTGACTGAGGAGTACCAAATTGCCTGTGCTATCTATCATCAAAAGACCAGACAACTCGTTTATCGGGTTGCATCTGTTTGCAACCCAAACAACAGTTTGAACTGAGACCTTTTTGAACCAAATTCCCAAGTAACGGTTCTTGGCAGAGCTTCCAGGACTGAAGAACCCCAGTTCAAAGCTTCCATCACTAGAAATTAAGGTTCTGCCATCACTAAGGTTGGTGGATGAGGTGATGATATCAGTTGCACAGGACAATCTAGAGAAGAAAAGCAGCAAGAGGATGATGATAATAAACATTCAAAATCGAATGTCCATCGTTCTACAAGTTTTCAGAATAAAAGATAGAACCTTCAAGGCGGCAGACGCCCGTTGAACGTTGACCAGTATACAAGTCTTCCCTGTCATTGCTGTCTCCTTCTAGAAGCAGTCCCCACTCCCAACTACCCCTTGCAAAAATAAGAGTCAAAATTAGGCATATTATTATTAACAAGTCTCTCTCTTTGAAATATTATTATTAATTTCCATTTCCTTGCAATTTCCAACAACAGCTCTCTCTTTTCTAGCGGTTGCACTACACTGGAAAAATAAGGCCTTAATTTCTATAGGAATACTGTTTTTTAATTCTAGTAAACAAGATTAGTGTAACTAAAAAACGTCTTAACAAAGACATAGCAAGAAAAGATCCCCCCATTCCCAGCTTTGGCAACATATTGGCCTTCATTTCTATAGGCATATGACTTACTTCTTTGAGTTGTATGCATTCTTGGCAACA